TTGGAATTGGAAAGATAATTACTTTGGAACCAAAAAGATAATTACTTGATCTAAAAATTTTGGTGTTTGACTAAAAATTCTCAAGTTAGGATATAAAATGTACAGTAATACCCGACCCTTCATTCCCTTTGAATCCCTGGCCCACTAACCCTAATATGAGCTACGGGCTGGCCGCTGCCGCTCCGGGATTTTCCGATCCTTTTCAATCCCCCTGGTCGGGAGTAGACGTCGCAGGCGATGAGCGAAGCATTCTCCCTCAACAAGTTGTATCCACCTCAAAATTAAAAATATATTATGAGCCGGTGAGCCACAATTCGAGCGGGAAGGACAAATATAACAAAAGGGGATCTCCTACGGTAACTTGAGTATAATTTCAAGTTAGGTAACTTGTATAGATCTTGACCGTTAAAATAAATTGAAATTATTTTAAGCCATTGATTAAAAAAATAAAAACAAAAAAGAAAGACGGGCAACCAGCACCGCCGGTCACCACTTTCCCCTTTTAACTTCTTTTTTTTTTTCCTTTTTTCACATCCACGTTTTCTTTGTTTTTTCTTTTTCATATTTTTTTTTTAAATTCTTACTCTTTTTAATTACATCGGTTACGTAAACTACATATCTATTACGTAAAGATTACGGAACGATAATGGTTTCTTTCGTAACAGTTAAATCAAAAGTTTTACGTAAGACTTACGTAATGGTTTAATACTTTACGTAACACTAAGTTAATTTTCATTACGTAAAAGGACCGTTCATTACGTAAGTCTTCCGTAATGACATTTTACAACTATTACGTAAAATACACATATATTCCGTAAAGGTTACGTAATGATAGTTATTTCTTACGTAACAGTTAAATCAGAAGCATTACGTAAGGTTTCCGTAATGACTTATCACTTTACGTAACGCAAATGTATTCATTACGTAAAATGATCGTTTATTACGTAAGGCTTACGTAATGACACTATTACAACTGTTACGTAAAATACACACTCATTACGTAAAGTTCACGAACAACAGTTATTTCTTACGTAACAGTTATATTTGAAGCGTTACGTAAGGATTACGTAATGACTTAACACTTTACGTAATGCATAGTGAATATTCATTACGTAAGAAGACCGTCCATTACGTAAGGCTTCCGTAATAACCTTTTACAACTGTTACGTAAAATAAGAATATATTACGTAACCATTACGTAACACCTGTTATGTTTTACGTAATGCGACCTGTGAAACCTGCTATAGCAGGTAAAAATATTCAAGTCACCTTACTTCAAGTCACCATAGAAAATCCCTATTGATTTGGAGGAATCCCAATTTGACGAAAAACAAGCTTTGTGGTAGTAGACCTGACTTCCGCCATGGCAAGCCAAATTAGGGATGGCAACAAAACCCCAACCCACGGGTATCCATCCGACCCAACCCGGTCAACGCGGGTAAAATCCGTGTTGACGGGTTTTGGGCCGGGTTTGGGTTTAAACCCGTTCACTATTCACCGGGTTGGGTTGGGTTTGGGTTTAGGTAAACCCGGCCCGTGGGTACCCGCCCACTCATATAATTAATTTTTTCGGTATATTTAATATTCTAAACAACTATTCTTATTTATGTTTGTGGAGACATGTCTAATTTTTTCTTTTTAATTGTGTAGAATGAAGTTGATGTTATGGAGTGGAGACTAAAGAAACTTAATTGAAAGAAAGAAGCTTTCAATTAAACATGTTATTTATGGATAATTTGTGATTTGCTTCAATTTTCATGAGTTTTCTAGATTGGTGTTGAACAATTTGTATAGTTAATTTGTGATTTGCTTGAATTTTCTAGAATGGTGTTTTATATATGGATAATTTATATTGAGAGATTGATATTTGACTTTAATTTTGATAAGAACTTGTAATTGTAAATTTTTTACGACAAAACCCGTGGGTACCCATGAACCCGCGGATACCCAACGGGTTGGGTTGGGTTTGAATTTTTCAAACCCGGTGGGTTTTACCTCGGGTTTTTTTCAAAGATAAACCCATGGGTTTGGGTTTGGGTTTGGCAAAACCCGACCCAACCCGACCCATTGCCATCCCTAAGCCAAATGGCTTGCTTGCTTCGCATCGTTAGGTATTATTCTTGGAAGAGTGACGCAATTAAAAATAAGTGGATGAGAAGAAGATGATAAAAAAACATTTTCTTGGTCGGAGAGGGATAGCTTGTCTGAGGCGTTGAGGGATTCAATCTGGGAGTGGAGATCGGAGATAAGATTGTCTCGGTCGACGAGCTGGTCGCGGAGGGAGGCAGATTGGGCCTCGGGGAAGGCGATGGAGGTGACCTTGCGGGCTATGTCGACCTGCTCGAATGGGTACGTGTGGGTTGAGTCGGGAATCGGTTGGGTCAATTCAATTGTTTAATTTTTTTTATTAATATTTGTAGTGACGTGGCATACTGACTGGATGGAGGTAACATATTTTTGGACGGAAATGAACGGAATGACCTTTTAGAAATTAGTTCAAACTTTTGTTACTGAAACGTGAAAAATTATAGGTTTGTGACCGTTTTGTACAAAATGAATAGTTTTATTACCATTTATGATAATTACCCGAAAATTTTCTATTATACTGTTGCTAATAACACAATCAAAAATCAAATACGAGTTAGCAAACAATACTTCTAATCCTATGAGAAGCTGCAGCAAAGCGTGACACAAAATCTACCTAGTATATTCTAAATCTGTAACTGAAGAAGGTAGCTTTCTCAATCCAATCAATAAAATCTGCTGACTTTTCCTTCGTTCTCCTCTTCCTCCTTCCTTGGCTCAAGATAGGGTGCATAACTATGAGTAACCAAATCTGGACCATTCTTTTAAGTGGTTGCAGATCTAAGTATGGAGCATTAAAAAAAATTATTTTCCCTAGTTTTCTTGATTGGATCATATCTTCTTCATTCTAACGGATTTCAATTTTTTTTTTTTTTTTTTGCAGATCGAACGAGTTCGTTGTGCTCTACAAAATGATATCCATTTTCAATATCTTTTGAGATTTCGTTTTTCATACCTCTCATTACCAACTCCATACCATATGATATCTCCTTCGTTTTTTAGTCATTTTTGGAAAATTTTGCACAGAAGGAACGATTTAATCATGATCTATTGGATTTCAAAAATTTATCGGTGAAAAAATTTCATACATCTCTTTACCAACTCCATACCGTATTATACCACCGGTATGAGGTGGTATTTTTCATATCATATGGTATGCTCTTATTTAATACTAGTCAATACCATTTGGTACAGACTGGTAATAACTGCCAGTTAAAAAAAATACCAAAGTGAATATTATTTTGAAGAGCACAATTAATATGATCTAACTGTGTAAAAAAATTAAATTCCGACTTAAAACGAGTAAGAAATCATCCCTTAAAGATTAAAAGAAGAAAAATTAAAACTTTTTGAAGAAGAGAGAAAGAGGCGCTAATGTGTCAGAATCTTATTAGATAGGGCTAATACCACTAGAAATACCAACCTTTAGCGAAACTGCCAGTTATATTATGAAATTTTCGATATGACAATTGTATACCAACCGTTAAGTTTTCTGTTAGGGGTTAACAGAAAATACAGTCAGCAATGACATGGCAGCTGACGTGGAAATTTTTCACAAAAAATAAATATTAAAAAAATCAAAACGAAATTAAAAAAAAACGAAAAACTATCATCGCCTTCCCCTAATCCCTCTCTCGCCAACGTCAATCTCCAGCCGCCGACCTTCTACCCCGTAACTCAGTAGATATGGCGGAGGAGGAGAGTGAGAATTTGTTTGTGACCCACCGACTATATCTCCCCTACGATTGGAGCGACTGAAGAAGGAGAATCACTATCTCCCTCTCTCCTCTCTTTAATTGGGAATGCGGTAAGGAACGACAACCGAAGAAGAAGGCCCGACGACTCTGATGTGGCGCTTGAGGGAGCCTCTGCTCCTCTCATTTGTTTTTGGCAGCTGCAATCGGAATTGGGATTATAAGCTAGGGATTAATTGGGCTAGTGGGTTAATTGGAGGGGGAGAGGTTATAATCAGAGGAGGAGCTTCTTCCTTTAGCTGCTGCTGTCGACTAGGGATGGCAATTATGCCCATACCCATGGGTATTTTACTATCCAACCCAATTGGGTTGGGTATGAAATCCAAATATATGGATATGGGTAAAGTTTGATGGGTTTGTACCCATACCCATTTACTTTGGGTTGGGTTGGGTTTATAACAAATGGATTTGGGTTTGTACCCATGCCCAAATACAAATTACAGTTTGGTACCTAAACTTAATAGATATGCATATTTAGTACCTAAATTTAATTTTTTTTGCATATAAGTCCTCAAAATATCGATGGAAAATTACATTTTGGTACCTAAATTTTTTTGGTCTTACATTTTGGTACCTAAAATTTTCTAGTTTTACAAATAAGTCCAATTTTTGCATGTGTAGTTAAGACACCCTCAAGTAAATGGATATCCATATCCAACTCATGCCCATTTAGATAATATCCATGTCTAACCCAAACCCATATACAAACCCCAAACCCATACACACATTACCCAAACCCTACCCATAATAGATGGGTCTACTTGGGTTTGGGCAAAATTACCCATGGGTGGGTAAATTGCCATCCCTACTGTCGACTGAAAGAGGGAGGGAGGGAAGGAAGGAGAGAGAGAGACAGAGGGAGAGAGATGATGTGGCGCTTACGTGGATGATAAATGGTGCCATGTCATTAAGAGTCAAACATGTTTTGACTTTTGTTAGGTCAACTGTTAACTCTAACGGTCAACAAAAATTCACATAACGCAAATGACGCGAACACCTAATAAGTTGAAATATTTTTGTATTTATTGAAATTACGTAATATAAATAGCACTTTCGCTAAAGACTGGTATTTTCAGTGGTATTAGCCCCTATTAGATATGAATGAGGTGTACCACAAGGTTAACGGACTGAATCTGCAATTTGTTCGATCAAGACCTCCAGCACCTGATTGCCGCGGCCTGTTTACTTGAGCTGGCAAAAGTCGAAGCCAGGCTGCCGGAGGAAGAGATTGTGAATTTCGCGAGCTTTAACATCATCCGGCAAACCGAAGATGAACAGCGTGTTGATCCCGTTACGATCAATAGTTGCCGTAGGTAAGGGCTGAGGTTGCTGTAAGTGGCTGTAAGGATCGTACACCGACGGGCAGTCATCGATTCAAAATCTGAGCTGAAGGGAAACACAAATTTCGACGAATAATTACACCGGAAGGAGGCGGTAAGAAAATAGAGGAGCCCAAATGCCCCATTCGTACCAAAAGCCCATTATCGTTTCGGAATGAAAACGGGTCAGGCTAGACCCGGACCAAAAGCATCAGAAACCTAAAAGAAAACAAAATTGAACAGAGCAGTCATATGAGGGGGGGGGGGGGGGGGGGGGGGGGGGGGGGGAATTCGGAATCGGAGAGAAGACGCTTAGCTGTTCTCAATCCTTTTTCATGCAACGGAGGTTCGAGCTTCTAATTTTTTGACTAGGTAATTCATCTATCTGCTTATAACAGTGAATCTTCTTTGTTTTTAGCTATGGGGGTGAAAGAGTTGAGCTTTTCTGTTTACTCGACGATTGATGGCCGAAAGTTGGGATTCTGATTTTTGGGTCCAGAAGGATTCGGCAAAATGTCTTGGTCAAGCCTTGCTAGGGCTAGGAGCTTTCATCAGTATGTCGTTACACCTTACCTGAAGTCGCTTAGTCAAACAAATTCCTTTCACATTCAGTCCAGGTGAAACTTAGAGTCGCATTCGATCAAGCTAGTAGCATATAAGTTCGTATTCTAATGCCCTCTTCATGTTTGTTTATTTACAGCTCCACCAGAGCAAGCAGCATTTACTACAGCAACGCCGACCGTTGTGGGTTGGAGGGATTTAGGACGGCAGCGCAAATTAGCAGTAATAGTAGTTGCAGTGTTAAGCGGTATTTTGCTACAACTGCAGCTGGTAGATCTTCAGCTGCTACCGAGCAGAAGTCGAGGAAGACGTTGATGTATCTCACTGGATTGGTAGCCGTAATGGTGGGGTGTACATATGCTGCTGTTCCTCTTTACAGGACCTTTTGTCAGGCAACTGGTTATGGTGGAACTGTACAGCGCCGGGAGGTTTGTTCTTTCTTCCTTGGCCTGCCTATTAGTTTGGTGTTTGTCTGTGATGTTTCAGGTTCTTATTTGGATTTAAGATTTTGATTTATTGCACTTCAATTGTTTTATGGTCTTTTGTAGACTGTTGAAGAGAAGATTTCACGGCATGCTAAAGATGGAACTGTGGCAACAAGGTATCTTAACCTAGCCTCTGTAATATGATTAAATTTGATGGTATGGTTCTGTTTAAGGCCAACATAGCTTATATTTATGGTGTTTCGATTCTGTTTATCTCTAGAGAGATTGTGGTGCAGTTTAATGCTGATGTGGCTGATGGAATGCCGTGGAAGTTTATTCCAACACAAAGAGAGGTTATATTTTTGTATGCTTGTGATGCCTTACTTAGAAGTAGAATGAAGCTGTGTTGGATGTTAATCTATTGAATTTTGAGGTTTCCTTTTATTTTCGGGTGAATAGGTGAGAGTAAAGCCAGGAGAAAGTGCCCTTGCATTTTATACAGCTGAGAATCGCAGTTCAGCTCCAATAACTGGAGTATCTACCTATAATGTTACTCCCATGAAGGTGCTGGTTTGATTTCAATTTTTAATTTCTGGTCATTTAATTTGATTTGCTTCAATGGACCTTCGATGAACTTGGTCGGTATCGCTCGTGGTTGATGGGAAAATAATGGTTATCGCCTTCGTGGTTGAAATGGACAGTACAGGCAAATTCCTTAAGAATTTTGGGGAGATGTCAAGCTAATTTTCATTTTATAGGTACATTTCCTAAAGCCTAATGCAGTACTTGTCTGGTTTTCACTTCCAAACTAGGCGGCCTCTTCATTATGACTTTCATCCTTGGATATCGAATTTTAACTCGGACAAGCTAAGAGTTAGGTTACCTTATTCCAATGTTCAAGAAGACGCTAGGCGCTATCTAGGCGAGGAGGCATCGCCTAGCGCCCAGGACGATTAATTTGATTTGCTTCAATGGACCTTCGATGAACTTGGTCAGTATCGCTCGTGGTTGATGGGAAAATAATGGTTATCACCTTCGTGGTTGAAATGGACAGTACATGCAAATTCCTTAAGAATTTTGGGGAGATGTCAAGCTAATTTTCATTTTATAGGTACATTTCCTAAAGTCTAATGCAGTACTTGTCTGGTTTTCACATCCAAACTAGGCGGCCTCTTCATTATGACTTTCATCCTTGGATATCGAATTTTAACTCGGACAAGCTAAGAGTTAGGTTACCTTATTGTTCAATGTGCTGCAGTCCACTGAGGGTTTTTGTACTCTGAAATGCCAAAATCAGGCGTTAAAATTCAAGCTATGCTCATTGGGATGCTTTCTTTCAGTCATTTGTTGTGCAACAACACTTTTGCTGTTTGCATCAAAACAGAATCAGCCATAGTGTCAACCAAAAAAAAAGTGTCTAAACCTAAATCCGCAGTTGAAATCAGAATCATTATGGCTCGATCATAGATTATTATGATGCTATGATTGAGTAATGCAGCTTGATTGACATGGATGGAATCATGATGTCTCTCTCTAGTGACTACCATGAACGAACTAGATCCTACCCCTTGTGACTAATTCTCTTTTATTTGTGGCTTATGTTTTCATTCCAGGCTGCTGTATACTTCAACAAAATACAATGCTTTTGCTTCGAGGAACAACGTCTACTTCCGGGAGAACAAGTTGACATGCCTGTGAGTAAACTGAATCTCCTCCTATTCGTACATACCCTTCTCCTTTCCTCCATTCTAAGAGGGCTTGCCTCGCTCATTCTATGAATGAATGCTCCGTTTTGCAGGTCTTCTTTTACATAGACCCTGAGTTTGAGACGGATCCTAAGATGGATGGGATCAACAACATTATCTTGTCCTACACTTTCTTCAGGATTCCAGATCAATAAATCTTGCAGCATGAGAGGTTATTGTTTGTACATCTAGATTCACAATTTTTTTCCTGGACCGAAATTCTTAGGAGCCAACTCATGCATGGTAACTTAGTTCCATTAAAGATAATTCAGTACGAGACTGATGTATGTATGATCAAAAGAACATATAGAGAGCTCTGAATTTTGATGAAGTAGAGGTGTATTATTAAAATACATGCATTTCACTCACCACCACAGTGTAAGTGGCAGGCAGGAAATGTTGATAATAAGCTCACTTTTTTCTCGAGTGATTTGAAGTTGGAAGAAATTCAAGCTGATCAACACTTACGGAGATAATAAGGTAGACACTGTATACTATGGATCAATACTACAGTATAGTATATACAAGTCACTCGCTCCAAATTGGAAGGCATTTGTTTCGAATTTCAGTTAAATCTGTATGCAACTCTCGTGCCTCATTAGAAAGGTCATTATAGCATCCTTCAACAAATTGGATTCAAGCCTCCGCACTTGGGAAAGATGAAATTTTCAAGACTGAAATTAAGGTCCATTTAGTTTTCAAACTCTCTGTGGGCGATGCGAAGGTGACAGTGGTTAAAAGTTTTGAGTACAGTCGAATGATGTTTGTGAAATGCAAATTGGATGATATTTTGGTTCAGCGTAACAAATTTGCAAGACTTGAAGTCCACTTTATTCTTGATTGTTTTGCACAATGTAACTTTCTTGTATTGGACTATTAATTTGTCACACTAATATTTTGTGGAGGGATCGTTTGAAAAAAAAGAAAATGGAAATTGCTATATGGACAGACAAATTCTCAAGATAGGGTGCATAATGGGTTATGCACACATCAATAACTAAATCTAGACCCTTTATTTAGAAAATTCAGATCTAAAGATGGAGAATTAATTTTTTTTTATTTTTCCTAACTTTCTTAATCGACTCATATCTTCTTCGTTTTAACTCGGATTTTAATTTTTGTTGCACAGATGAAACGAGTTCATTGTGCTCTATAAAATGAGATTCATTTTCAATATATTTTGAGAAAAAAAATTATTGTCTCTTGGTACCAACTGCATACCATATGGTATCTTCTTCGTTTTTTAAAACGTTTGCGCAGAAGCAACGAGTTCATCATGATCTATTGGATCTACAAATTTATGGGTGAACAAATTACAAGACTAAAAAATATCACACAATACCATACAATACCACCCTGGTACGAGGTGGTATCTTGTGGTACACAATGTTAAAAGTCATAAATGACAGTTAATATAATTCTACTACCATGTATTCAACCATCCTACGATCTTGGTTTGTTCATATCACCATGGTACGTTTTTCAAACTATAGGTATGCTCTTATTTCAATACTAGTCAATACCATATGGTATAGACTGGTAAAAATGACTCAATTTTTTTGTTCGAAAAATATATCAAAGTGGATATCATTTTGAAGAGCACAATTAATCTGATCTAACTGTGGAAAAAATTAAATTTTGACTTAAAACGAGTGAGAAATCATCCGTCAAAATTAAGGAGAAAAAAATTAAAGTTTTTCCAGAAAAGAGAGGAATGTTAATGTCATGTTGATGTGGACTGGTTACTCATTGTTATTAATCATTACTGACCTGATCCGTTCCCCACAATAAATCCTCCCACTAATTAAAGATATCATCGCAATAGTAAACCAAAATAATAATTCAATAAACCAACACAATGTAATAAAATACAAAAATTAACCCCGCACATGTCGTACATATCCAAACCAGAAAAAGACACCCTCACAGATTTCAAGAAGAAGACCGGCCGCCCCCGCCGCCGGCTAGGAACCCTGCGCTCTCTTCCTCGTCAACAAACAAATCCTCCGTCTTCCTCATTACTCCGTGAGCAAGAACCACCACTGCTCCGACCAGAAGGGACCCCCACGGTGTTCCCCAGAACATCGGTGAGGAGCAGCACACCCACCGAATTCGGAAGGAAAATATGGATAGTTCGGAAATCAGAGTTCTTTCAACTGAATCGAATATCCGAATTTCCGACAAAAAAAACTGAAATATTATAATTGCAAGCTCCAAATGGTGGATTTTTATATTTGTAATTGTTTTTAGACTTAAATATTTGAAATGTTTTATGATTTATGTGTTGAAAAATTTGAGTTTATCATTGATGATGCATATAATTGCATATTTATTGTTTATATTAGGGATGAAAAATAATTTAAAAGTGAGAAAATACAAGTAGCTTCACAAATTCGTTTTTGTATGAAAAATCGAGCCGAGCCGAATTATAATTCGATTTAAACCGACCGAACCAAATTATAATTCGGTTCGAATTTGGTTTGAGGTTTCGGAGAATTCGGGGACCCAGTATTCATAATTTCGGTTCGGTCGAAACCGAACTGAATGCCCACCCCTAAAGGAGAGTGACTAAATGTGACATGTTTCAGTAATTCGAGTGACAGTTATAAATAAAAAATGTAATTCGAGTGATCGAAGTTGGACGGAGGTTGACGGGGAGTGACTAAATGTGACATGTTTTAGTATTTCGAGTGACCAAATTTGATATTAATTTTTTCTAGTAACTAAACATAACACGATTTAGTAATTGCAGTGATTAAATGTGGCATTTACCCTATTATATATTTAGTAAACTTTGGCAACTTTCTTATTCTCTCGATGTCGTAGAAAATAGAGAGACCCAAGCATCAAATATTATCTTGTTTTCCCCTTCACCCACATGTTGCTCGCTTCTGAAGCTTCCACCTCTCCATCTCTCCTTGGTATCATTGGCGCAGCACCATGTGCTCTCTCCATCTATTCCTCCCTCTCTTCCTCAGCGTAGTTATTCTGCTAACTTGAAGATTCGTTAGTATATACTAACTAATATCCAAAATGTATGAACTGATATCAAAGTCTGTTGAGTATCTAGATAGCACAGACTAGTATTCAAAACATCACAGACTAATATCCAAATAGCAGATACCAACTAATAACCACAATCAACCAACTAATATTCAATATGGATACTCTTATGTGTTATCTAGATACTAATTATGTGTTGTTTGGATACTATTTTGTGTTGTCTATATATTAGTTTGTGAATTTGGGATAATAGTTGATTCATGGTGGATATCAGTTAGCAAACTTTGAATACTAGTCTGTGTTCTCTAGATACTTTAGTACTTGGATATTAGTTCATGTATTTTGAATATCAGTTAGTATCTGCTAACGAATCTTCAAGTTAGCAGATTAACTTTCCCCCTTCCTCAACTCGATCATCCCTTCAATTCACTGTGTATATATTACAGCTCTGCAATAATTCTTTAGCAGAGGGGCCGAAAACTTATGGGGAGGATGAATGAGAATGGGAGAGGTTAATTAAGGGATGGCTTATTATTAGTGGGAGTTATTAGAGGATTAACAAATATTATTAGTCTTCATCACTTTTCTTTCTTTCCTTGAAAAAGGTTAGACGAGCATATTCACGAGTTTTCGAGCTGAATATGACATGACTTTCATGAGGATTAACGAGCTTGTTCGCGAGCCGGCTCGATTAAGACGAGTTGAGTTTCGAACGGGTTTTTCTCAAGCCGAACGCTGAGCCATTCATGAGCGACTTGGTTCATTAATAACCCTAGTCCCCCCTTCTTATTTTCTTTTTAATGCCAACCAATAAATTTCCCCTTTTGTTTACCGGAGTAAATTTCCCTTTTTCAAATTTTGCCAGTGGGACCTGAATCTATAAGGGATTCTAGAAAATATAATACAAAATATTGCACTCATGCAAAATACTTTTACATATATTGTTAGTATAAATGAATTGGGGAGCATGCTTATTTGAAACAAATAGTGGCATGTATAAACCCAAAATTAATTTAGAGGAAAAAAAAAAATTTTGCATCCAATTGGGCTTATGACCACATCAATATGTCATTCTCGGGTGATGCGATATCAACTAGCACGATATTCAATTCCCGTGGTCCAAAGATAAAAGTTCGAATAAGGAGATATAAGGATCAATTGGAAACATTCTTGATGAAAGCAATGGTGCTCACGTTGATTAATAGCTGCTGCCTATTCGTTAAATTGCAACAACTGATAGCGGTTAACTTCATCCTATCAATTTGGGACGTGCTTATTCTTGGAAAGATTATCATGGCCACGTGTTTCATTGAGAGACTTTGCATGGGATTAAGTTTTGGTTGGTGGAAAGAGTGATAACGTGTCACTCATGGGTTATTAGCTGATTCATGGGTTGTTGTTTACTTGCATGAAGAAGGGCATTGATGCCATGTGAATTATTGGAACGAAATTTCATTTCCGCCAGATACAAGGAGTTCCGCAACCGCTACAGAAAAGGACGAGAAGAAGGATAAAGCGTGCGACAGCAGCGTGTTTCGGATTTAATTATGTGTTGTGGTTATTTAATAGTTTAATAAGTAGTTCTAGTCCTTATTTAAGTAGTATTATGTTTTCTAGTTAGTTTGGGACTTTTTTTCATATTCCTTTTAGGTTAGTTTTATGTTTTTGTGACCTCTATAAATAGAGGGTGTAAGAGCTACGAATTTTGTACCCAATATTCAAGTTATCAATCAAAGTTGAGTTCAAGTTCATTGCGAACGAGTTCTTTTGTGCAAGACTTCTGTCGAGGATTCCAGGAGATTGTACGTGTCTCTTATCAAATAGAGAACGCGTCTAGTTGTGGCGAGCATCTATCCTATATCAATTGCCCCTTTCCACGAGTTGATTCTGTCCGATTGGTTTAATATACCAATTGCCCTTTGTCACGAGTTGGGATTGTCCGATTGATTCCGCATCTATCTTTATTTTTCGTATTCAAGAAAAGCTTCGAAAATCCTTAAAAAGAAGGAAGGCTGCGTACTTTGGTCATATAATCCGAGTTCGAGGGTGCTCTTCGGATTTGGATCATATCAAGTGGTATCAGAGCCCGGTTCAAACTCAGTGGCAAATTTGAAGATTACCGGTTCAAACTCAGTAGCAAGAAGCTGGTGTGTTCGTCTTGTTTTATTTCTTGATTATTTTTAGAAAAAGCCAAAAAAAAGTTGTTGTGAGCTGTTTACGGAAGAAAAAAGAAGCCAGATTAGTTTTAATTATTTTTATTTGTTCACGTGACTGAAAAAAAAACCAAAGTAGTTTTCTTAATTATTTTGACGTGGGTAATTAGAGAGAAAAAAAAAACAATTTTTGCGGTAGAATAAAGAGCAAGTAGTTGTGTTATCTGTTTCAGTTTAATTATTTTGTTTTCTTTTAAATTTTGTGTACTGTTCACGTAATTAAAAAAAAGCAAAAATCTTGTTACACAGCCACAAAGCTGTACGTGTGGGGGGAAAAAAATTCTGTGTTTTGGTTTGTTGTGGTTCTTGATTGAGGCGCAAGAATGGAGCAAAATCGACGATTGGTGGAGATGATACAACAGTCGCTTAACGATCTTATCGATGACTCTCTCACGACGATCGAAGTTATTCTTCAAGGGAAAGCACAAATGGGAGAACGAAGGGATGCCAAACTTGCTCGATTGGAAGCTTTATTGGGAATTCATTCATCAGAGTAAGATCAAGACAAGGAGGAGTATATTGAAATATCGCCTATGAAAGGTCCACTTTTTGATACTTGTTGTGAAGAGTATGAGGATTTCGATGATGAGGAGGCGATAGAAGATGT